TTCCAGCTACTTGGAAGACTGAGGCGGAAGGATTGCCGGAGCCCAGCAGGTTGAGGCTGCCGTGGGCGGGAGCGGCCACTGCACTTCAGTCTGGGCGACAGAGTGAGACTCCAACTCAAAAAAAAAAAGACCAGACTCCTGACTTCTATTCTCTTCTGCCTCCCAGTGATTTTTTTTTTTTTTTGTATTTATTTTCAGGAATCCTCCTCAATTGCAAGGGTAGGTGTTCGACAAGGATGCCACAAACATTTGTGCACTGCATGACCTGCACAGCCACCTTTGGCAGCCCCGGTGGGAGTACAAACAAGGAGGAGGGGGTAGGGGGTGGGACATGGACAAGGAGAGAAGGGAGGAACTTTCGTTGTTTTCCTGCTGAGTTTTTAGATTAACTCTGCTTTTTATCTCCATATATCTTCTTCCTCCTGGAACAGCTTCCGGAAGTTCAACATTTTGACCTCAAACCAGAAAACCCTGACCCCTGAGAAGGGGCAGAGTCAGGGCTTAATTTGGGACTTTGGCTACCTGGTAAGAATGGGCAGTAATTTAGACTCCAAGTCCAAAGGAGCAGGGCCTGGCAGAAGTTCCCAGGCCTGGAGTGGTCTTGAGGCAAGCCAGGGCTTCCAGGCACTCTGGAGTCACCCTCTGGCATTCTCTCTCCTTCCCCTCAATTCACAGACTCTGGTGGAGCAGCGTGCAGGTGGTTCAGGAAAGGGTAGCAATAAGGTGAGGCCTGGACTGAGGATTTGGGGTCAGGAGGAACTAACCAAAGTGCCCTCAGATGACTGTGTCTTTGGTTGTCCCAGGGGCCACTAAGTGTGACAGAGGAATTGCACATCATCAGCTTCACGATCAAATACACCTACCAGGGTCTGAAGCAGGAGCTGAAAGTAAGTGAAAATGGAGGATGGGAAAGATGGCACAGATCTGGAAGAAGGCCTAAGGAGGAACTGGATGGAAGCTTGTCAGGGCAGGATGTCACCCCTTCCCCCACCAATGTCTGCAGCTAGAAACATCACATCCCTCATCTGTGACTCCTGTCTTGTCCCCAGACAGACACCCTTCCTGTGGTGATTATTTCCAACATGAACCAACTCTCGATTGCCTGGGCCTCAGTTCTTTGGTTCAATCTGCTCAGCCCAGATACCCAGGTAGGAGGTGGGCCCACAGGTGAAGGGTGGAGAAGAGGGGTGTGGGAGCTTGGTGTGAGGGGCTGGTTCTGAGCCATGCTGTCCTCCTCCCACCCCTGCAGAATCAGCAATTCTTCTCCAACCCCTCGAAGGCCCCCTGGAGCTTGCTGGGCCCTGCCCTCAGCTGGCAGTTCTCATCTTACGTGGGAAGAGGCCTCAACTCGGAGCAGCTGAGCATGCTGAGAAACAAACTATATGGTATAGATGTTCTTTCTCTTAACCTTCCCTGGCCCTCTGTCCTGTCTACACCCTGGCCTCCTTCTGTCATCTGAAGGAGGCCATCTGTGGCTATCTGTCCCACAGGGCAGAACTCTAAGAATGAGGATGCATTGCTGTCCTGGGGTGACTTTGCTAAGGTAACTCCCTGAATCCAGTGTTGCTAGATCTTGCTCCAAGTCCGAATACCGGCCCTTCTGGCCACATACAGTGGCTCAAGCCTGTAATCCCAGACCTTTGGGAAGTCGAGACAGAAGGATCACTTGAGGCCAGAAGTTCTAGAATAGCCTGGGCAACAGCGAGATCCTGTCTCTAGAAAAACAAATTTTTTTTTTGAGTTGGAGTCTCACTCTGTCGCCCAGAATGGAGTGCAGTGGTCACTCCCGGCCACCACAGACAGCCTCGACCTGCCGGGCTCCGGCGATCCTTCCGCCTCAGCCTTCCAAGTGGCTGGAACTACAGGCGTGCGCGACCACGCCCGGCTCATTTTTGATTTATTGTAGAGATGAGGTCTCGCCAAGTTGCCCAGGCAGGTCTCGAACCCGCGGGCTCAGGCAATCCACTCACCTCAGCCTCCCAAAGCACTGGGACTACAGGCTGAGCCACCGAGCCCGGCTTCTGGGGTCTTTAACAGCAGAAACGTGGCTCTTTCCTGTGGAATCTCATTATAAACAGGCCTCAGCTCAGAGATGAGTTTTTGGGTCTCTCTTGTCATTTTTTACAGTGAATTTGTGGGGTCTATGTGCACAGAGGGGCTTTCCTTTTTTTTTGGAATAACATCCTTGAGGTCAGAACAGTGCCTGGGACACGGTTGCCACGGTTGCTGTGGTTTGGATATAGTTTGTTGATGCCTACCAAATCTCATGTTTAAGATTTAATCTCCAGTATGGTGGTTTTTGGGAGGTGGGGCCTAGGAGGACGTGTTTGGGTCATGGGGGCGGATCCCTCATGAATGACTTGTTGCCTTTCTTGCAGTGGTGAGTGAATTCTTGCTCTTGTGGGACTGCGTTCGTTCTCAAGGGAATGGATTTGTTCTTGAGAGTGTGGGTTGTTATGAAGCTGGGACATGCCTTGGATTTGGCCTTTCTTGTGGTGCTGGCCAAAGCCGCCTCTGCCATGTTTTGACATAGCACAGAAGACGCTGGCACCAGGCTCCTGGTATGGCCTGCAGACTGAGCTAAATAATCCTCTTTTATTTATAAATCACTAGGCTGGGGTATTCTTTTATAGCAACACAAAGTGGACTAAGACAAGGTAAACACTCAAGGATTACTGAATGAATGAGTGACTGGAATTCCACAATTCCCTGTGGAGAAGGTTTCTGGTTGGTCTTGCCTGGGTCAGGTGTCTGCCCTGCTGAAAACAATCTGGCGGGAGGTGGAATGGTTCACGCTTGATGTGAAGGCCTGCCACAGTCCAGGGGTCCTTCTTAGAGAAAAGAGACTGTCAGAGGAGGGGGCCGATGACTCGAGCGTGAGTTACTTACGTTTGTCCCTAAGAGACTGACAAGCATCAACAGTTTTGGAAATTGACCTTTTAAATGAGGAGAGATTAGTGTATAAAACTTTGTCTCTTTTCATGTATTACATCTAAACTTGTTGTTCCAATGAGCATATTTCAGAGTTTAAATGTCATCTATTGTAGGGAGAATCATTTCTTGGTATAAAACAAAGGCTGTTCAAGAAGTAGAATATAATAGAAAATGCTGACATAAAGCTGGAACATCTAATGACTGTATTTTATTTTATTTTATTTTAGTTGGAGTCTCACTCCATCACTCAGGTTGGAGTACAGTGGCACACTAATGGCCACCCCCGCGTTGATCTTCTGGGCTCCCGTGATCCTTCCACCTCACCTCCCCAGTAGCCAGAACTACAGGCATGCGCTACCACACCTTGCTAATCTTTTGATTTACTGTGGAGATGAGGTCTCGCCAAGTTGCCCAGGCTGTTCTCAAATCGCAGGCCCAGGCAATCTGCTCTCCTCGATCTCCCAAAGTGCTGGGATTATAGGCTTGAGCCACCACGTTTGGCCTATTTTATTTTTTGAATTGGAGTCTCACTCTATCACCGAGGCTGGAGTGCAGTGGCACAATCACGGCTCATTGCAACTTCAACCTCCTGGGCTCAGGAGGTTCTCTCACCTCAGCCTCCCGAGTAACCGGGACTACAGGCACGTGCCACCATGCCTGGCTAATTTTTTTTGTAGAGATGAGGTCTCCCTATATTGCGCAGCCTGGTCTTGAACTCCTGGCCTCAAGCGATCCTCCTGCTTCAACCTCCCAGAGTGCTGGGATTACAGGCATGAGCCATCATGCGTGTCTTGGGACTGATCTTTTGACGCAAAGATACATGAGAAATAAACCTGCAAGGACACACGACTGTCTCAGTTGTAAGACTGGGAGGAAAAAGCCATACTCCCTGAATCTGTGAACACTAAATGGGAAGTCCTCCAGGTTTGTTGATGGACGAACAGTGTGGCCTAAACAACCACAAGCAAAGGATGTCACATCAAGTGATCTCAGGATGATGGGGCCCTAGTGACAAGCAGAAACAAGCCCAGATCCTCTCCAGGAGAACTGCCAGCAGCCGCTACAAGATGCGATCTCATTTTTAGCAATGTAAACACGTAAAAATGTATGTTTTACAATCTGTGCAATTGGCAGTGTGCTGAACTGGAGCTGGCTGGGGAAATTCATCCGGTTCTCCTGTGTCCTGGAGTCAGATTAACGACAGGGTTGCGGTGTTTCAGGTGGGCTTTGAGAGGGTGGGAGCGTCTAGCTGCTAATAATAAGAGGGGAGATACATGGACATCAGAAATAATCTCAGCCGGGCTTGGTGGCTCAGTCTGTAATCCCGTGCTTTAGGAGGCCGAGGTGAGTGGATTGCCTGAGCCTGCGGGTTTGAGACCCACCTGGGCAACTTGGCGAGACATCATCCCTACAATACATCAAAAAAATCAGCTGGGCGTGGTAGCGCATGCCTGTAATTCTGGTTACTCGGAAGGCTGAGGTGGAAGGATCCCCGGAGCCCAGCAGGTCGAGGCTGCGGTGGGAGGGAGCGGCTACCGCACTCCCGTCTGGGCGACAGAGTGAGACTCCACTCAAAAAAAAAAAAAGAAAGAAAAAGAAATAATCTCATCTTCTTGCCCAACAGTCATGATTTAGTCTCCTGGAACAGCAATCACGAAAGACTGGCTTATAACTTTGGTATCCCCAAATTATAGTTTTATCAATCAGCCTTAGGAAAACCAATGTGGCTAGGCGTGGTGTTTCAAGTCTATAATCCCAGCACTTTGGGAGGCCAAGGCGAGGGGATTGCCTGAGCCTGTGGGTTCGAGACCAGCCCAGGCAAGCTGGCGAGAAGTCATCTCTACAATACATCCAAAATTAGCCGGGCGTGGAAGGGCGCACTTGTAGTTCCGGCTGCTTGGAAGGCTGAGGCAGAAGGATCGCCGGAGCCCAGCGGGTCGAGGCTGGGGTGGCCGTGAGTGTGCCACCACACTCCAGCCTGGGCGACAGAGTGGGACTCTGACTCAAAGAAAAGAAAGCCAATATATTAGATGCTATTTGTCTTTATCTCATGACTCCTCTTGTGAGATCTCATCCTGATATTCCCGAGAATCATCACTTCACCCCATCCCTGAAGAGGAATCCGCACCAGTTGTTTTCTTCCTAGTAGGGATCTGTGTCTGCGTATGACCTCTCTGCCTTCCTGTTTTCCAAAACTTTGTTTGCATCTATGAAAGGAGTATTTGTTTATTTATTTATTTTATTTTAGAGGCACGGGGTACAAGTGGGGTCGTGCTGCATACGTAGGCTGCAAGCAAGTGAGCTTGGGCTTCTAGCGGGCCTCTCTCCCCACCGTGTTGCCACGTGCCCCCTCCCTCCCCTAGCAGCACCCAGCGACTGTGGATCCCACCTTGTGCGAGTGTGACCAGTGATCAGGGCCTGTTTATGAGTGAGGCCTGTGGGATTCGGTTCTCTGTTTCTGACATAGTTCACTTAGTGTGATGGCCTTGAAAGGGGTTTCTAGACATTTGCTTAGAAGTGGAGGAAGGCTCAGGATTTTTTTTTTTTTATTGAGGTGGAGTCTCACTCTGCTGCCCAGACTGGAGTGCAGCGGCCGCTCCCGGCCCCCGCAGCCTCGACCTGCTGGGCTCCGGCGATCCTTCCGCCTCAGCCTTCCGAGTAGCTGGAACTCCAGGCACGCGCTACCACGCCTGGTTCATTTTTTGATTTATTGTAGAGATGAGATCTCTCCAAGTTGCCCAGGCGGATCTCGAACCCGCGGGCTCAGGGAATACACTCGCCTCAGCCTCTCAAAGCACTGGGATTACAGGCTGAGCCACTGAGCCCGGCTGGGATTTTTTTTTTTAGGCAAATTTAGATGATCTTTATTGATTTTTGTCAAGAAATTCCATTTTGGAAGCCTAATTTCTGTTCTGCTAGAAATAATTTTATATTGATAATGTACTCATTTGGAAATAGAAACATACCTAAAAGAAGCTGATCCAAATACATGATTTTTTTTTTACA